CGAAAAAGGGCAACAGTTGGAATTTGACTTATCTATTTAGAATGCTAGAGTTCTTAATTCATCTCTGTATTAATGTCTTGCTTTCTTACACTTCTTGCGATGTCCAATCTTTCTTGCATATAAAGAACTTTGCAAAGAAGATTTCTATCCCTCGAGTATAATCAATGTTTATGAAACACGGTCAACGTATTCATATTGAATACTGAATGACGTACGATATTCATGGATATTTATCAAATATGCATCACTCTTGTATAATTATTAATGTATCTGGATAATCACGAATACTTATCCAAAATGAATATGCTTTGAATATGGAAGGTACTACAAGGAACAATATGAAGAATTTTTTCTTATTTTATTATTTACCTATCGATTCACATACAGTGCAACACAGAAAAATTCATATGACTTTGAGTACACGAGTGTTTCTCGAGTATTCTCTGGTAAAAAAGCTAATTAACTCATATCTTTTGGCAACGAGTAACTCCAAGTAAACCAACTAGTTAAACGTTGGGTCTGATTCCTAAAGTTGTTTAGTTTACTTTGTGGATAAACCATAATAAGATAATATATAGTTCTTTGAAAGTGAAATTTGCTAATTCTTTGTATTGTAAATTAAGAATTTTGTGGACATTATAATTTTGAAGTCATAGGGCAATAGTAAAAGTATATAATATACTCTTTTATAGACCTATTCTGGCTGTATCACGTCTATTATTTTAGGTTTTGCGGTATCGCAATATCAGCTATTGTTTCATACCCGCATTTGTATCTGTATTAGTGCTTTCTAGACCAATGAAGAACCTAACCTTAGGAGTTTCTCAAATTGACAACCCGATCTAGGTAAACAATTAATATCTCAATGTCAATGTCCAGTCTTTCTTACATATAACAAACTTTGCACAGGAAGGTTTCTATCCCTTGACTGTCATCTAACCAATGTTAACCCTAAGCTTGTTAGTTCCTCAAAACAATTAATACAAACTAGAATAATTACCAACTGTTGTCGCTGATGCAATGGTAACGGATGAACACAAAGAAATTACTGTCTGTAAGTGCAAAGAATACATACGCTCTAAATCTACAGGAAAAAAGAAGAGAAAACTTTCAAAATATGATATTATTCAATTGATTGATTAGAACTTGTAATACATAGGACAATTTATAGAAATCCGCAAACCCCTAAAGGTTTTTCAAAATGGACCTAAATCCAAAGTATTATGAAAGTTACTAAAAACAAATAAAATACATATCTAATGAATTTAGAAAAAATTTCATGGTTTAGTCAGCTAATTACTCTTGAATATTCCTAATGAAATTATAAATTTGAGAAATAGTTAAAGAAAATAAAACTATAGAAATTGTCAGCCTCATTCTACATCATGCCCTCTTTCTTGACAAAAAGTCATCCTTGGGTTTCTATTGTTTGAAACAGCTCGATTTGTTTGTGTTGATCTGCATCTACTTTGTACTTTAAATTAATCTTCCCTAGCATATAATGAAACCTTAGCATGACCTTCAAAACTTCAACCCCATATTCTTCTAAATAAGATTCAATAAGCTCTCCAACATCACCATAAGTCTACTCGCATTTTTCGTAGTCTTCTATATCTTTTTTATTTGGACCTCAAGTTGATTGTTTCGATTTGAACTCACTTTGTTGCGTCATAGATCGATACACACCACATTCTTCAATATCACTAGAACTTGCAATAGGTGCCACTCGAAAAGGCATAACACGGACATTCTGTCTCATAGGATAGACATGATTACGATCTCGAAGGGGTTGAAAACAAGTGCTATCGTTGTTTTGTATCCTATCTCGATCGGGATCTTGGTTTGGACCCAACATCAATTGAAATTCTTATCATTCCTTGAATTCTTGAATGATAAATTCATTGGATTTTTTGAAGGTGTAAACTGTAAGCTATTAAGTGAGCATCATTGTTGCTGGGAACTGCTCGAGCATATTTAATTAAAGAAAACTATTACATCAATCAACCTAGACTGCCTTGAAGTTGGTTGTGAGTGGGGGAAGTAGTGCTTTCTAGTTGCTGAAGGGCTGAGAAATGTCATATTGTTTGCTCCAGGGAGCTCAATGTTGTCTCCTATTAGCTTGTACATCCTTATTTACCTTAGTCTGTGTTGAATGGCAAGATAGATAAAGCTGAATTGCAAAAATTAACTGCATATATCAATGTTCACTACTTTATTGTATGATTTGTCTCCCATCCTGACTAGTTTGAGTTAAAATTCTTGTAATTATTTCTTGTGACCATGGACTTAATTGACTCAATTGCGGTTTCTATGATTTCGTTCTAGATGGTAGCAGACTATGATAAATAACTCACTGGTTCCTTGGTAATTTGTCACAAGATCATACATTCTTTTTAAATTTGCTGTTTATGTTCCAACTCAAATTTGTTTATCATCTGTGACACCGAATATACTTCTATATTAATCGCGAAGTGAGATGCCCTAAAACCCTTAGACAAATGGATTAAATATTATTGTAATTCCCATGAATATCTAGCTCTATCGATTAAGAGCAAAATGTATTCAGTTCAAGATATTAGTGTCTAAGTGTATTCTTAAGTTACACCTCTCCATTAGTTTAAACTTCTTGGTGGTTTAACATTGTACCAGTGCAATAGGTCTTATGCTTGAATCTCGTTTCCACCTCCATAATAAAAGCTTTCACATGATAGTCTCAAAATCTAGCCTGTGTATATACTTGAACTACTCCCTCTATACCAGCTGAAGCTTTTAGAACAGATGATGATTTAACAGTGTCTTTGTGGTTCTATTTTGAAAGAAACTTTAACCTAGTTCCTTCAAAAATCTCCAATATTTTGATGAGAATGTGATTTCTACTTGCTGACCACTTTTTTTTTTTAAGTCAAAAAGAAGGTCACAACTATTGTTGTTGGAATTGGATTTGTTGCATAATAATGAGACAGTTTGTAAAAATTCAAATGCCGTAGATTATTGAGTAGATTGAAAATAAAATATGTTTGTCTTAAACTCTTTTAATATTTTATGTATGCATAGAAATTTAATGGCTAGTGAATCATCCATTGGTTAAAGCTTTTACATTTGGTTTCTGGTTTTACTACTACATTTGGTGATTGTGCTCCGGTGAGCTCTTGCATTGAGTTGTCCCATCCTTCTCTGAACAAATTGAAATGCTCTTGGGCAAGTAAGCAGGGGCCATGCCCCTCTCTTTAAGTTCCTGCTCCCTTGTAAACTTCATTTGAAAAGGTTCAGTTTTTTTTTGCTTGCAATGTTGTCAGAGCAGCGTATATTAATGACAGATCAATGTTCTCTACGAAGATGAATATACACTCCAGTCATGGCAATTCCACCTACGTGTCTCTTGCCTCCTACACATTGGTGTCTCATTATCCATCACCAGCACCTACCATTTCCAGTAACACCAGCAATGCTGTCACCACCTTGTCATCATCAGCACTCCAATTATATCCCCTTTTTTTTTTCTCTATTTTAGCAGTCTAATAATTCCCACAACCATTAAAGCCATCATCTCCACCATGACCAGCTCCATTACTTAGCATAGTCAGTCTTTGAGACCTAGATTGATTCATTCCTTACTAACCGATTCAGCTTTTGAAATCATCCATTTGGACAATAACTTCAACTGCTCATTAAAAGATTAGAACCTAAAATGGAACATCTGGAAATTATAATAAGACGATTAGTGAACTGACTCGGATAAGCTCCATCAATAGTTTCACATATAATGTTATGTCATCAAGAGTCAAGACAGACAAAATTGGAAAAAGAGAGAAAAAAAACCTTGTTGCAGTAAAGTAGAGGTGAAAAAACCTATAAATTATCATCTTCATCTCAACCATAGAAATTTAAGGTACGGATCCAATAGTAGGATTCAAATCTTATGTACAATGAGGTTGTTGATTCTCTCTCTCTCTCTCACTAGTGGAAAAATGAGGAACAGAGGTGATGTGGTTGTCTTAGAGCTTAGTGGTAGTTTAGGTTTAGTTTGGGACTTGGACTTGTATTTAGTGAAATTAAATGGTGGCTATGCTAAGACAGTAATAGTATAGCTTGTTTTTTGGCTCGCTCGAGTTCGCTTGTATTACAAAACAAGTCGAATCTGAACTAATTTTTAGGCTCATTTTGTTTATTTGTACAAAAGATACATGTAAATTATTAAGAATAGCAAGGTTACTTTAGGAAAATTAGTAAATATTGAAATCCCTTTTAAAATAACTTATGTCAAACTACCACTTTTTTTTTTAATAGAGTTCATATGGGTTCCCACCCCCCACTCCCCTCTCTCTCTCTTTCTTCCCACACCTTGAGCCACGAACCCCCTCTCTCTCTTCCCACCTCTTCTTCCTTACCCCTCTGTCTCTCATTCTTCAAAGACCTCGCCTCTCTCGATCTCTAATCTCTCACCAACGCCACCATTCCTCCCATCAACACGACCATTCCTCAACCGAAGTCCTAGATCAAATTATTGTTATCTAAGGTCGTCCTAAGTTGCAAATGTAATTTTTTTTTTTTTAGATTTATAATTGTTCAAAGCTAGGATTTGTATTTTGATTTAGATTTTTGTGAAATATGTAAAATTTATTGTTTGGATTTTTTTTCTTAAATTACTAGTTACGAATTTGCAGACTTGTGGATTTAGATCTTGTCGATTTGGGAATTATTTGGGAGTTCGTTTTTAGCTCAAGCAAGCCCAAACCGAGCTTGAGCAATAATTTAGACTCGGTGTCCAAGCCTAAGTCAAGCTTGAACACCCCTTAAAAAATTCAAGTCAAGCTTGAGCAAACCGAAGCTCGATAGGCTCGGCTCGATTAACACCCCTAATTGAGAATTGGGATATCCCAAGAATGAACATGGAGATATTATGTTTTTGAATTGAAAAATATCATAACTGCGCAAATAATGACCAGGGTTGAAACAATGTTTTGGGGGAGAGAGAGGGAGGAAGGAGATAATGGACGATGATGACTGGAAATGAGGCACTGACATGGAGAAAGGGAGAAAGAAGTTGGGCAATCAAACTGGTGAGAAATGAGGGATAAATGCTTGGGAGGACTCTTTTCGGTAAATAAAGCTTGGTTGCTAGGGGGACTTGTTCTGATGGAACAGTATATTCATCTATTTAGAACTTATTGCTTTGGCAATAATACCAGCCTTATTTGCTGCATAAAAAGTATTTCAAAAATATTAAAGAATTTCCTCCCCCGCCCGGGAGGAAAAAAGAAATGGTTTTAATAGAATTTCGCAGCATCTAATACCGGCATACCTCTAGAAACGTTATTTAATGATTTAAGCGATTTCTAAAAATGCTCCTTGCATAAATAAAAGAAGTGAAAACATGACACTTTTCTATGTCCATTTTATTTTTAATAAAGTAGTTATGCTTGATGGTTCCAAATTTTAAAGTGAAAGACTTTAACAACATGTGTTTTACGTGTTTTTAATTTTCTCAGTTTTTGGATTCTAATAATCTTAGAAACCAAAATAATCTAATAAACACTTGCTTCGAAGTACGAAGCTTTGGCTGAGATGGAAATGGTCAGAAACCACCACTCACAGTGGGCAGAAGAATTATTAGATTTGCCACTGCATTGTGGACTCCTTTTATATATAGAGTTCTGTGCTTGAACTCTGCAAGATAGAACAACATTGAGGGGAACAAGAAATATGCATTGCTAGTCTGCCGTTCATCCTTATTGTCATTCATGCTGGTGGTGTATGTAACTTTACTAATACGTTGGCAAGCAGGTTAATCTTGTGGATTATTCTCAAGAAGTCTGATTTTACCTTTTTTAAAAACCTGGCAGCAAATACTTCTTGCTGTTAACACCATACACGAGGAACGTATAGTACACTCAGACCTGAAGCCAGCTAATTTTCTTCTTGTCCGAGGTTCGCTAAAGCTGATTGATTTTGGCATTGCAAAAGCTATAATGAGTGATACAACTAATATTCAACGGGATTCACAGGTAACTACACTTCCAACTTCCTTTCTTTATTGGGAATTAATGACATAGACTACAAATTTTCTCCTGCTGGCTTCTCAAGTGGCTTCACACATGGTGCCACATCAAGAGACAGATGCATTGCTGATTATAGCGGCAAAATGCCGAAAGTATCCCAGAATCAAACTTTTTCCATTTGGCAAAATAAACCCCAGCTGTATGAAGCTTACATGGCACATTGTGACTGGTCATATGATGAAGGGGTTCATCTAGGATATAGGGTTCTTTTACTGTCTTTTTATATGGTAATATGCTGTTGCAGGTGGGTACACTGAGTTACATGTCTCCGGAAGCATTCATGTGCAATGAGACAGATGCAAATGGAAACACCATAAAGTGTGGACGTCCATCGGACATCTGGTCACTTGGTTGCATCCTTTATCAAATGGTGTATGGAAGAACACCTTTTTCAGAATACAAGACCTTCTGGGCAAAGTTCAAAGTCATAACCGACCGAAACCATGAAATTATTTATGAACCAGTTTCCAATCCATGGCTTCTTGATCTTATGAAGAAGTGTCTTGCATGGGAGCGGACTGAAAGATGGAGGATTCCTCAGCTACTTCAACACCCTTTTCTTGTTCCTCCAATCCCAAGTCAATTATCTTTCCCTCATGACCAGAGCTGTAAACTGCTTCAGGTAATTGCTGAATCTTGTTCAGCTGATCAAAAAGCTTTGAAGCTATGTTCTCAGCTGCAACAATTACTAAAGGATCCAAGACCGGGAGGAACATCTCACGTATCAATATCACAAGATGAACAACGTAAGTTGCTTTGTGAAATATCAAACCTTTGCTTTCAACTCCAGGAACAATTATCAAACTTTGAGAGGGATTAGATAACTGATATTAACACACCAGCATCGGCAGGCTTGTGTCTTTTAGATTTGGGCGGATTTGGTGCTTGGCAATTCGCCAAGCAGCTTCTTCAATCCTGTTTGTAGAATTTTTGTATGATTTATCGTGTTATGTTGAAAAGGAAAGGACTGTAGCAAGTGGCTGGTGCATTTAATCTAGCACTTATGTCGTGGCTGCATGAGGTTCCTGTAATCTCTTCAACTGATGTATATACATCGTTGAGTTCTGGAAAATCAATGTAAAAATTGGCCTGTGTGAATAAATACCAAGTCCATTCTGTTCTGATTATCTAAGGGCATTCTACAATCTACTTTAAAAAGTTGTAGATACATGCGAAAATCAAATTTAATGTTTGTTGTATGCATTAGGGTTTACTATAGCCGCACGGAGCCAATGGCAGGAGTTTTGAATTCTGGACTCTCAAAAATATGTTTAGAACATTACAGGTACTGTTTGTTTCTATGTACTTCTTTTAGTGTAGTATCTAATGTTTGCTGGATGCATTACAATTTCACTCCGGCCTCATGTGTCTTACAATAGAAACTGGTCATATGGCGATTGTTGTTTAGTGGTGTGATACAAGAAGTAAATAGATGCCTTGAGAAAATACGGCATGGACCAGTATAAGACCCTCAATTGTCTTATTTTATATTATAGGGAGAATTACAGATGGATTTCTTGAAATTTGTCATTTAATCAGACCCTGACATTTGAATTTGAATTATTACATATAGATTTCATAAGGTTTGTACGCGTGTAATACTTAGACCTTTGTCGTTAATGTTCTTTAGTAAATTATATCCAGATTTTTTGAACTTTGTAAACGTATAATATTTAAATTTCTCAAATTTAAAATGTTATACTTAGACCAAAAATATTTTAATAAAAAATAAAATATCAAATATTTTAAATATTACAATTAAAATTAATGTCCTATTATATTATTTATTGAAATAAAATCACAAATAAAAATCTAATTTTTTTTTCAAAAATCGTAATTAGTATATAATTAGACTATCTATTGGAATAAAATTAAAAAAATCAAACAAGGGATCTAAGTCATTCATAATAAAACGTGCATTTTACAATTAAAATTCATGTTCAATTATGACATTTATTGAAATAAAATTAAAATTTTAATTTTAATTTAAAAAAAAAAAAATCATAATTAGCCTAAGTGGTGAATTACACTGAAACACCTAAGAACTTGATTTATCTCTTTGTTATACGATTTTCTCTTACTCTCAATTCATATTTAGCCAAAAAAAATGATATCCACTCTTAAAATTTGCAAGTTTTTTACTTAGTGAACACCCATTTAACCAAATGTTTGTGTTGTGTTTCATTGAGGAGGATTAATAGGATTTCTCTAGCTATGTCTTGTGGGGTGTAAACTATATCTCCAAATATTAGAATCATAAGCAAAATCTAAACAAAACAAAAGGTGCAAAAGAAGAAGTTTATTGTTGAAAATGAAAAAGGACAAAGTGTCAAATTCTTCGACCTTGTCTTCAACACATTAACAACCAGATTTTTTAAAGGTTTAAATAACGGCAAGAAGTGAAGTTTTATATGAAAACACAATCCGGCCGTCGGAGCAATAGATGGTGGAGATTTGTTGTGTTCATGCATCATTTTGATGGTGGACATGATGACAATGTATTCAGAACCGAAGAAATAAGGGTTAATCATAAATCATACCTCAAAAAATTGTTCAAATTTTAATTTATACTTTTAAAGATTAAAAATCTCAATATGCATTCTTAAAGATGTACTTAAAGCTAACAACGCTTGCCGACTTAAATTAAATTGATAAAATATACTTAGATCCCTTCATACTTGTCACTTAATCAGTTAGACCTCTCACATTTGAATCCAAATATGACTAAAAATGTTCCTCCAGCAATTGGACATTCAAATAATTCTGTTCAAGTGATGTATTACATTAGATATAAAGAACATTATATAAATTCTTGCATCATATTGGATATTTAAATGATAAACTTGATTTTGAACTTTAAACTATTCTGGGCCCACAAAATAAATGATAGTATAAAATTATAAGTTTTTATTTGGATGAAATTATGTTTATTAACTGTTCTATTAACAAATATTATCGACAAAAGGTATGTGTTACACGTACATAAACGTTAGGAAATGTATGAGTAATATTCTAAATGTGAGGGGGTCTAAATTATTAAGTGACAAACTTGAGGGGGTCTAGGTATAACTTACCCAATTAATTTTAGATGGCAAACTAACGACTGTTAGTTTCATATACGTATTTATACAAATTTATGTTTTTGAAGGTATAAGTTGAGATTTTTTATTTTTGAGGATACAAATTAATATTCGAGAGATCTTTTGAGATATAATTTATAATTAACCTAAAAAATAATATAAAGTTTAATCTCGAATCATTTGATCTGGAATTTTTGATCATGTTTCTCTTCTTCTCCATCAATATTGAATAGAGAGAGAAGGGGCGCGCGGGGATAAACTCAAAATTGAAAAAAAAAATTATTCAAATTCAAAATTTTTCTTAATAAAAAATGTTGGCAAATAATGGATTTGGCAACAATTCTGGATGATACACTCTGCTGGGTATTCAACCAATAAAAAATAGTATTTTTTATTTTTTATATATTTATACTAATTATTATCTATACTTAAAGACACAGAATAATAAAAAAAAAATTAATAAAATTAAATTACAATATAGAGGAGTGAGAAATGAATTTAACCACTAGTTATAATGGGGTGAGTGGTAGTAGTGGTGGTGGTGAGAGACAGTGATGGTGATAGTTATGGTGGATGGCGACGACTATGGTGATAATGGCAGTTGTGGGTTGCAATAGTGACAATGATGGTGAATTTTGGGTGACAATGATGATAGTGACAACCATGATTAATGGAGACGATAATAATTGTTGATAGTAGTGGTGGTAGGACGACGACGATGGTGATAGAAGCGATGGATTGTACTAGTGGGCGGTGACGATAGTGGTAGTGGGAGACGACAGGTGTTTTTGGGTGATAGTGTAATGGTTGGTGGCGAATGATGGTGGTGGTAGGGGTGGACGATAATGGCTGGCAACGACAGGTGATGGTGGGGTTGTGGTAATGGGTGACAGTTGGCGGTGATGGGCGTGTGTTGACTGTGGATAATAGTGGTAATAAGAATAAATATAAAAATGAGATGACGATGATAGTAAGTGGCGATGGTGGACGATGATAGTAGCAATCGATGATGAATGACAATAGTAGAGGTGGTGGCAGTGGCAATAAGAGTGGTGGTGATATAGGTGATGATGGGGCAGGGGGTGGTGGTGGTAGTTGTAGGGTGGCAACAGTTGTGATAATGGAGGGTGGCAGCAATGGTGGTGGTAGTGGTGGGTGGTTGTGGTGATGGTGTTGGGGGTGGTGGTGGAGCAATAGGGGTGACAGTGGTGGTAGAGTGGTAATGACGATGATTATGGGGTGGTGGTGGTGGTAATGAGACAATTTCAAATACTAATTTTTTATTTTTTAAAGTACTTATGAAAAATTATAAATTTTAGAAATACTTTTAAAAAGTTAATTCAAACACACATTAAGAGCCTATTTCCCAGTTAAATTTAAAGTGTTAATATTAACCATCAGATTAACTTTAAATAAAATTTAAAGATATATCAATAACAAAAAATAACAATCATTTTATTTATTTTTTAAAATTTAAATTATATTAAAATTTATTATATAAATATTTGTTTTAATTAGACTAACAAACATCACTACGCTAATCCTATAAATCTAACTCTTCTCTTATACTATAAATTAAACTCTTCGGGTATATAGTAAAGTAAACCAAAATAATATACTTTTGTTATTCTCTTTCTCGCTCTCTAAAAATAATTGTGATTTAAGGATGCTCCTGAGGAGTTCATCGACTCCGATCTTGAATTCATGGATAGCCAATTCGGCAGGATCATCACCGGATTTGGTTCCTCGGACAAGATCGGTTACTCCTCTTTCTCTCTCTAAAATAATTGTGATTTAAGGATGCCCAGGAGTTCATCGGCTCTGATCTTGAATTCATGCATAGCCAACTCGGCTGGATCATCACCGGAGTCTGATTTCGTTCTTCGGCATTCTAGGACAAGATCAGTGTCTTTGACGACGGCCTTTGGTTCTGATGATCACCAACTGAAGAGTCCGGCAACACGATCATTATCCGAGTTGGACCTCCGAGACCCACAGGTGCCGAAGAAGAACAACAGTACAAGTACCAAACCACCCACTACTCCGAAGCCAGCTAATGTTAAAGAGAACGGAGAACAAGAGGTAGGTCGGCCACGTTTGTCGAGGACGGTAGAGAGGTTGTTGTTGTCGAGCTCTGGGTTGGGTGAGGCTGATGAGGAGGGGTGTGTGACGGTGGTGGAGAAGGAGAGGGATAGGGTGTTGTAGACTGTGGTTGTGGGTGGTGGAGGTGGTAGTGGAAAAGGATCGGACGGTGGAGATAGGTCTGGTTCTGGGTCCTATGACGATTCTAACGGTTTGGCATGGTCATGACAGTACGGACGCTTATTGTAAGTGGATGATCAAGGCAAACCCTGGAAATTCTCTTACTCTCAAACTATGCCAAGTTCTTGAAAGAGGTTAGGGGAGATTTAGCTAAAGCAGAGGAGTATTGTGGGAGAGCAATATTGACTATCCCGAGTGATGGCAATATGTTGTCACTCTATGCTGATCTGATATGGCAGACACAGAGAGATGCTAGCCGTGCTGAGAGATATTTCCATCAATCTACTATCAATTTATCTCATTCATAAAACTTATTTATTAATTTATTATCGTTTTTAACTTATTTATCAAATTATCGTTGTTTTAAAAGCGAATTTGACAAATTCAACTTCATGAGAAAAACAAATTTGATAAATCCAATTTTATAGGGAAAATGAATATACTAAATCTGACTTCATTTAGAAAGCAGACATACAAAATCCGTTTTTTGTCTCAATTAGTAACTTTTAATATTTCATCTAATTTTTTTACTGGGATACTACCCGAAATTCTTGACTTTATATATTTTCTTCCTAATAAATAAATTACTTATTTTTATCATATATTTAATTATTTAATATTTGATTAATTTGTAATTAATATATTTTAAAAATATTTAATATAGTGGGATCAATTTTTTAGATGGTCGAATTTTATATTTTATCGTGTCTTCAGACACGGGTTATAACTAATAAATTTAGATAGAATCTATTAGTGAATTTTTAACGACTAATAAAAGTGAGTAATTTATTCATAAAGAATATAGAATCAAAGAGACCAAAAATATTCAATAAATAGTCAAATACTCTTTTGGCTATCAACACAATCATACATATAAAGGCTTGCACCTGGGTAAGTTTGTTTTCCATATAAAGGCAGGTTTGGTATGTCCGCTTTTCATATAAAGACGGATTTGATATATCCGCTTTCCCTATGAAGTCGAATTTACTAAATCCGTTTTTCAATTGAAGTCAGATTTGTCAAATTCGCTTTCTCCATGAAGTCAGATTTGTCAAATTCGCTTTTTCCATGAAGTCGAATTTGCTAAATTCGCTTTTAAAACAACGCTAATTTGATAAATAAGTTGAAAACGATAGTAGATCGATAAATAAGTTTGATAAATGGGTTATATTAGTAATAAATTCAAAGTTCTTTGAAGGAGTGTCTACTTGGCCTCCTCTAGCTGCAGCTTCTTAATCTAATAACCTCTGTGTGCTCTCCTGTTGTAATCCAACTATATAAGTTGGTGAGAACTAAAAAATTAAAGAAAATATTATTTGGACTTAATTTGAGGACCTAATCTGGATATCTAATTTAATACAACCATTAGATTGGCTGTGGGTTCCACTTAACATTGTAACTCACAAATAATCCAATGATTGCATTGAAACCGCATCATTAGGTCTCAAAATTAGGTCCTCAAATAAGGTCGCTATAACATTGCTCAAAAATTAAAAGCAATGTTATAGGGATCTTATTTGAAGATCTAATTTGGGAACTTAATGATGTGGTTTCAATACAACCATTGAATTAATTGTGAGTTTCAACATTAAATGGAGCCCACAACCAATCCAATGGTTATATTGAATTAAGTCCTCAAATTAGGTCCAAATAGCATTTTCCAAAAATTAATGTAGAGTTAACTTTTCCTCTTGTTTTTTTTTTAAGAGAAATAAATTTCTGACATTATCCTTCCAAAGATACAGATTGAACTCCCTTTGCGATATTAGGAAAATAAAATAAAAATTATGTTAATATTTATATGTTTGTCTCACAGGGGATAGACTAAGGAAATTTTACTACTATCGTGTACTATAAATCAACCTTCTCATGCAATGATAAAGTACACCAAAATAATATACAATTAATATTTGTGTTCTATTATCTTTTTTTTTCAACCTATTAATTTTTTTCAACCACAGTTTTTTTTATGGAATTAATGTCATTGAAAGAATTCCTTCAATTAGAGTCTTATGGAAACAATAGTCCTAACTCTGTGTCTGAAAGCATAATGGAATATAAAATTTAAACACCCAAAAAAATAATTTTAATATATTAAAATTTTTTAATATGTATATACTATCGTATATGGGTACTATTTGAAATAAAATTATGTTAAACTATAAATTAATTAAATATTAAATAATTGAATGCATGATAGAAATGAGTGATGCAATATTTTTAGGGAAAAAAATATTTAAGGGATAAAAATTCAAGTTACTATTTATTTTATTATCTAGATTAAAGTTATTTGCATTTCTAAGAGAATTTGTATAACTTTTACGGGGGAATCTCACATCATGCGCTTAAAGATTTAAGTTTTCTTATTTTATATCCTCGGAGATGAGATTTCTCATATGTACCTTAATATATTAAAAGTATTCCAATATAACCCTTTTATTATCTTCTATTGTTTATTTAGACAAAACCTGCTCTACTGAGTTGATTGAATGAGTAACGCAAAGTAATGAAAAAGTCACAGCACAATACTTTTACTACATTAAAAGTATAATGTGAAAACTTAATCTTTAAAAGTTGCACGGGATAATACCTACAATAATTTGAGATAGCAATTTTTAAACTGGTGAACCTGAAACAATAGTATCAGAAAAAAAGGGAGGTCATGTGAACACCCGATTTATCCCCTCTGAAGCTTAAATTAGTCTAAGGTTGAAGGGTTTAGCTCAATGAACAATCTTTTTTTAGTTCAAGTTTGCATATCTTTGTCCATTTTTCTGAAGAGTATTTATACCTGAATTAACAATGATCGTTAAAAGTCTCCAGTCCCATCTGGACATTTAACATCTGACACACCATTTCCTCACACAATGAGTGTTTTCTACTCACGTATCATCCTATTAAATGCTAGGACGATAGGATGAGCACTCAGTTAAATACCGAGCATTTATGCCCTTCCCTGAGTATCCAAATCCCTCAGATCGCTATCTGACATCAACTGAGCATTGAATACTCGGAGAAACAGTTCCTCGGGGGGGTCAATCGCGTTGTCTCGGCGCATTAGTCATTAATGCTTAGCCATCATGATAGTAGGTCTAGATTCCCAGAGTGTATGTGCTTGCAGGCGCGCATTTATTTGTCTTTTCACCATCACTCACTCCGCCATAAATGAAGGGTCGCGTTGTATTAAATATGATGCCAACAGTCGTACTCGGTTGCTCCGGGTCACCATACCTCAGCTTACCTCTTCGGCGCCCTTTGGACGTCCCAACGGCTTCATTACTCCACGTGTCAACCTGGGGGCTGTAGAGCCACCTAGAGTCCCGCCAACTGCCCCCCAGCCGCAATCTTTTTCGCAGTGTAAGACAAGGGGCGTAAAGAGATTGGAGGCTCAATCATCACGCCTTACTAATAGCGACTGTTACTTGCACGTCTGGCGCTGCCCTTTTCAAATACCCTAATGATGGCCTAATTTTTCGATTCCTGCTCCCTGTAAGGCAGTATAAATAGCAGGTATTCATGCCTCCTCAGAACTTTTGCATCCTTAGCCTCTCTTTGGCAATCAGACCTCGAGCGCTCCTTTGTTTTCCTCCGAGTTTCCTTCGTCATCCGAGTTTCCTTTTTAAAGACCACCCTCCTGTAAGTTCTTTCACTTGAGCTTTTTCTTTCTTCATTTCCTCTACATTTCTTCCTTTTAGCGCCCACCAATGGCCAGAACTAGTAGAACCAGTCGGAAGACATCCGTTAGGGCTAGGGCTACCCATAAGACGAGGAGAACTCAAGTAATTGATGAGAACATCCAAGCTTTCCGAGTTAGGTACCACATTCATGAGCCCGTCTTTGCCTTTCCCTTTAACCTCACTCGTCATAGGAGGGATATGAGAAGTGTAGACATAAAGCCTTTTTGGACGAAGGCCATCATGAAAGGAGGGTTGACCTTCCCTCTCCATCCCCTGTTGCTGGGAGTGTTAATGCAACTAAAACTTTTTCCCCTTCAATGTGGGGTTAACTTCTTTAGGATTGTGATGGGTGTAGTCGCCTTAAATGCTCGGCTAGGGACCAACTTAGGAGTAGATGAGATTTTATTCTGTTATGACTTGAGGTTAATCGTCAGGGGGAGGTACTACCTCCAAGATCGAGACACCTCAATATATCTAGTAACCCACATGCCCGACTTGGACAAGGGGTATGTAGACGATGTAATCATGCTCGACGGCAGTTGGGGGAAAGGACCAGGGCCCGAGTGTGATGGATTGTACTACCCCAAAGTGCCGAGAGATGAAGGTGTGTGTTCTTCCTGACTTGTACTGATTTGCTATTTTTGGACCCACGGGATGTACTGATTTTGCTATCTTTGCTTTTGCAGAATGATATCATCGAGACTCTACTCAACCTTTGAGGTCCCAGGTTCGATTTGCCGACCTCCTAAAGGTGTGGTCCTTAGACCCAGTTGAGCGAGCGACACACACTCTACTCGGCTACACACTGACTCACAGTCGATTTTCTCAAATCCCACCTCCCTTCACCCTTCTCCTTGGGAAGACCATTCCTCGTCTGTAGAGGAAAAATTCGAGGGAGATTCTGAAGAAAAGTCTGATCATCTTGCTCTCGAACCCATTGCGCCTGAAGAAATGTTTACTCCACCACCAGTCACCGTTGCTACAATGGAGGTCGCCGCCGTGACAAGGAGAGCCAGGCTCGCATGATTGGCCGGGCCTTCTAACACTGCCCCTATTATTCCCCCGCCTAGTTTTCCTCGGCGACAACAACTCTCGTCGCTGCCACGTCCCCAACCATCCAGGGACCCGGCCGTGCCGACTAGGCAAAGGCCTCAATCTTAAGTCCCCGCTTCAGGAGACCGGCCGAGGGACTGACGTACCCGGGATGCCGAACAATCTGAGGAGGGCTGTGTGAGGCGGCGGCATAATGCCCCGGGCCCGTCTGTCTCAGGTGAGTGGGTTCCCCGGGCCGAGACCAGGAGCGGTCGCCCTATCTTGGAAGTTGACTCCATCCTCCAGTCCCCCGAAGTGGCATTTGTCGTCGCGGGGACGTTTCAATTTGATGTCGATATGGCCGTATACAAAGGCTATTCAGACAATCGGCTTCTGATGAGCATTATCCAAAACAACTTAGTGGTAAGTT